TCGTTTTTATAATATACTCGTTTACAGCATTCGTTGTGGGCAACAAGAAATAAGCCGTTAAAGTCGACACATGCAATAGCATCTGAATTTGGCTGGTGAAGCATTTTTCGCTTGTTTTCCCGCGTTTTCCCCCATATCCTAGGATACGAGTCCTCGATCACGATTTATGAATAAGGTCTATGTATGAACCAGTATTATACTCACAGCTGCTCCTGGTTAGCTCTAACAGCGTATAAAATTTAAACTCGAAATTTCCATCTACAAAAAGCTAGCTGTCGACCCAATATTCATGCACATTTATTACGTAGGCTAGACTGCATGTAAATTGTACAGGATGGGCTTTACCCAGACGACAGAGGATGACGTGGCTCGGCGTCCATTAGAGAGGTTTAGCAAAGACGACGGGACGTCAAAGACTACGTGAAAATGGCGTAAAATGGCGTCGGCACATCCATAGATGGGCATATCACGCCATTTTTACGCCATTTTCACGTCGTCTTTGACGACGCGTCGTCTTTGCTAAACCTCTCTATTATATATAAACTGAACCCCAGTTAACACATTTAACAAAATTGTTTTTATTTTTACATTCTAGTTACGTGATGAGGTCTACAATGAACTATGTAATGTTGATCAGGTTGCGGGAATCAAGGTAAGGCTAAAATTTGTAGAAATAAAGACATACTACAAAAATACATTTATCCCGTTCCAACTTGCCGGACAAAGTAACCACGTTTTAATTTGCGGGATTTACAGCACCTGGTAATCTGCACATTTTCTGTACATTTTAAAAAATTACCTATGTCTTTAAGGGGATATTGATATGGAGGCGAGCCAGCCCGGATATCCTTAACCTCGCGCTCCGGAGACGAATTATACACCTGTTTACAGCCTAGACCTAGGCCTTCTATTTTTATTTTTATTTTAATATTCAGCGCTTTTTCACAAGATTGGGACTAGGTGATTTGGGAGCGGGGCGGAGGAAGGACGCAATAGAAGGCCTGGTAGGCAATTTGTCTGAGCATGCGCGCAGAAAATCAATATGGCAACGTATATTAGGAGTGTTTCGTGGATTTATCTGGTTTTAAAGCTGAGAAAACTTTGTAATATTTAGTGGAAAACATTAAGCTGTGCATTCCAAAGCTTTTAAATTAAAAATAAGTACTTTTGCTTTATTTTATTGCTTTTTATGCTTTGAAAACAGGCAAGCTCATATTTTTTGAAAAAATCTTATCTAATATTTTACCCATTATTTGTTTAATCTGAACAAAAATAGATAGAACACTTGGCTATATAAGTTATAAAGGTATTGTTAGCTGATCTGAAAGATTTCAGTATTTCAGGTACACATTTTAACAAAGAATAAAATTAAAATATATGCATATCAAAAACAATGGTTTTTAATAGAACAACACACAATAAGTTGTTATTTTCTATTTTTACAAAAAACAAGTTTGAAAACAGGATAATAATAATAATATCATATTTATACAGGTTAAAACTTGTTTCAGGAACATATATTGCTGGTGTCAACCAAGCTATGGTAGTTATCTAAATATAGTATAAAATATATAAAATGTGAAAGATAATTTATGTACAGTTTTAAAAGTCAAAGTTAAACTCTTTGCAACCAGACTTAAATCTTAAAAGTGATTGTTCTGTCTTCAACTCACTAGGTAGTTTATTAAAAATAATTGCCCCTTGGTATGCAAAAGTTTTCTTACCGGTTTCAGTTCTTATCTTTGGAAGGACAATGTTCGTGTTATTCGCACGTGTACATTTAGCGTGTGCAACTCTTTTAAAATAGTCTTGAAAGGTTTTTGGCGCTATGCCATTTAAACATTTAAAAACCTCAACAGCACAGGACCTATTTCTAATTTCGTTCACACTTGGCAGCCTTACGGAACTTCGCCGACCATTTATTACTCTCAATGCTCGATTCTGGATTTTCTCAATCTTTTCCTTGTTGGTGGTAGATAGCTTCAGGTGAACAGTGTTACAGTATAACATTATTGGTAAGATCATCATTTTGTAGATTGTTTCTGCTGTCGATAGGCTAACATTCTGTCTTATGCGATACAGAAGTTTAACTCTTGATGTTGCTTTCTTTATTGTGTTCTCCAGATGTTCAATATAATTTAAGTTTTTGTCCATCCTGACACCCAGATATTCATACACTTGCGATTGCACAATGTTGATTCCACCGACTTTTATTTCCATTGGTCTTGATTTGGAAGTTTTTTATGAGTACCATAGAGAACACACTCCGTCTTTGAACGTTTGAGGTTTATTACCAAGTTGTTTTGGACAAACCAGTTGGAAATCTGTTCCATGTCATTGTTAAAGTGTTCTTCAATTCTTTCACAAGTTCTGTCGGCACGGTATATGACAGTATCATCAGCGTAAAAGACAATTTCACACCGTTTCAGATGAATATCAATATCATTGACTAGCAGGACAAACAACAAAGGACCCAGAATTGAGTCCTGGGGCACGTCGCAGAAAATTGGCTGAACTGATGATTCAACACCCTCAAATGCAACAAATTGTGTTCTGTTAAAAAGATAGTCTTCGAACCACATAAGTTCGTCGTTTCTGATGCCGTAAATGGTCAGTTTCGACAGCAAGCGAGCATGATCAACGGTGTCGAACGCCTTTCGTAGGTCGATAAATATTGCACCAGTCATTAAACCGTTATCCATGTTTTGTCTTATCGAATCAGAAAATTTTGTCACTGCATGCTGAGTCGATAATTTGGTTCGAAAGCCAAATTGATTTTTTGAAAGGAGATTATTTTCTTCAAGATATGCATATAGTTGTCGGTGGACCACACGCTCAAACACTTTGGAAAGCACCGCCAGGATGGAAATGGGCCTATAGTTGTCCAAAAGTGATCTTTCTTCAGACTTGTATATTGGTGTAATTTTCGCGCATTTTTCTGCTGATGGAAAGAGGGAATTTTTTAAGCATCGGTTGATTAGTGTTGTTAACGGCTCAGCCAATATATCAGCGCCATCTTTTATAAAAGATGTAGGGATTTCGTCATAACCTTGGGCTTTCTTTCTGTTCAGTTTCTTCATAACATCCTTGATCTCTTTACTGCTGACCTTCTGAAATTTAAAAGTGCAGTTTCGAGGGTTCAGTTTACGTTTGAAATTTGAATGATCATGGTGCATCCAGGCTATATCAGTCAACTTTGGTAGAACGTCCTGCAGCCTTTTTCCAATGCTGGTGAAGAATTTGCAGAAACCATTCGCAACCTCAATCACGTTCGACGTAGGCTTGCCATCAACGTTAAAAACTTTAGAGCCAGCGTCTCTTGATCCTTTCGTTGGAAAACACTTCTTTATTTGATTCCAAAATTTCCTTGGTGTATTGATGTTTTCTCTGAAGATCTGTCTCGTGTAATTCGCTTTACTTTGTCGGATTGATCGCGTCACATCTTTTCTAAGACGGCGATACGTTGACCAGTCGATCTCTTTACCTGATTTTCTCGCCTTTCTGAGATAATAGTCCCGTTCGTCGGTCTTCGTTTTTATTTCATTTGTAAACCAGGGACTGTCTCGACTACGCACTCTTTTCCAAGTTAGTGAGGCATGTTTGTCTATCACCGATTTCAAAAGGCTTTTGATTCGTAATAACATCTAAACAAGTATAGCTTTTAAAGAGAAATAACTTGCATCAAATAGAGGAAGGACTAACTTAGACTTTGATATATTACAGTTGTATTTCACTTAAAAATTCACGGAGATATTAATCTTTAAATTCGGGAGGATATTTCTGGATGTGTCTGAAATATGCAAAAATCGGCGTATCAAATATTAATCAAGATTTGCCCGACTGAAACATGCACTATTACCAGTAAATAAATGACACTTGACAAATTGTTTATTATGAAACAAAGTATTATTATATCTACAAAATACAAGCAAGATTCATTCGTCCGAAATTCGCGTGTGTTCCTAGCACGAATACGTTTCCTTATTTCATGAGACCACTGCATCGCGAAGGATCGTCATTGGATCGTTCGTAGTTCTGAATTAGGGCATGCTGTCACAACGGAATTGTGAAGCTCTTCTAACTTCTGCAACGTTCTGAAATCTTGTTAAGAACACCCAAACTCTTTTGCCGTTTCTTAATCTTGGTAAGTTCATGGAGTAAACTGAGAATTATATGAAACACAATCAAACCATACAACTCCATAAGACATAACAATTAAGCAACTCCCCAGAGACATGCAACATTTTTGGAACAAAACGTAACAAAATAGTAGCGTTGATACGGTGATGTGTATTTGCAAAAAGCAATATTATTTCCTTCAATAAAGAATATTCATCCTGCTCTAACCGAGAAATAATCTACTCAGTCTGTTTGAACCCATTAAAAACATAAAAAAATTAGGCTATTTAAGAATACGAAAAATTTAAGCGCCTGCCTTCCATGGTCAGTCTTTCATGTACATTTAAGTTTGCAAAGACCTAATATTAAATACTTGCATAATTTCGAACGTTCATATTTCAGGAAACAATGAGCTAAGACTTACATGTAAGATGTCTAAATCTACGCCATATCACTTACAAACCTTAACGATAATTCGCTGAAATACAAGTTAGCCTAATATGTCATTAAGCAAACAAACGCTGGAGTTAATATTTGATATGCCGATTTTCGCTAATTTTGGACACATTCCAAAATATGCTCCCCATTTTTAACATTAATATATCCGTGAATTTTTAAGTTAAATACAACTGTAATATATCAAAATCTAAGTTAGTCCTTCCTCTATTTAATGCAAGTTATTTCTCTTTAAAAACTTTACTTGTTTAGAAGTTACTACGAATCAAACAGGAGTACTTTTTTTTGGGCCACCCGGTATATATATATATATATATATATATATATATATATATATATATATATATATATACGAGTAGGTTTGTGTATACGAAACGCAAAGAGTGCTCAATATCATAAAAATAGAGCAAATGTAGAATTTCGCTTACCTCAAAATTCCGCAACAGTCTGTTTCATCAGTAAAGAATCATCAGGCGGTATCTTGCCTGATGATTCTTTACTGATGAAACAGACTGTTGCGGAATTTTGAGGTAAGCGAAATTATATATATATATATATATATATATATATATATATATATATATATATATATATATATATATATATGTGTGTATGTATATATATATATATATATATATATATATATATATATATATATATATATATATATATATATATATATATATATATATATATATATACTCTAAGCTTGCAAATCATAATGGGGAGCATCATTTAATCAGTTTACAAACTAGGTTACCCACAGGGCAGTAATGCTGCCTTTGACAGCAAAAGACAAACTACAGGGTGTTGAACGAGTCCTTCAGAAACATCCAATTATTGTTTAGCTTGCATGGCAGGGCGTCTGGCGTCTGGCGTTGGACAGGGTAAATACTAAAGTAGGGGTCATTACTGTGCTGATGAATTAACAAGAGCCATTGGCAGATAGGTTTGTTAACCCATTTACTGGCAGTACCCTATACCACTGACGAGTAAAATCTTCTGGCGCTCGACAAGGGAAGGGCGCATTGCCAGCTAATGGGTTAAACCACCGTGGTTAAACATAAGATTTCATGATGCTCCAGGAAATGTAAACAAGCTATCAGTGTGACATCCCAGTTTATATATTTATATACTCGGAATATTGATTTTCGGTACATGCAAAATTATTTTAAAGTATAACAACCAGCGAAGACGTAAGGCACTAACTATCAATATTTTCAAAAGCGGCCAATTAGACCAGGGGTTAAAGGGCAATGACAATGACATGCAGGTGACATTTAACATTGCGTCTCACTAATTAAAATTTGCGTGTTTAATAGTGTTTATCAAAGAAAGCAAAAATATATACAAGACAATCTCACATGTGGAGTTTTTTCACTTACAGTACGTACTGCCTTGTGATGCAGTACAAGTATAAATACAAATGACAAAGCATTTGTAAATCCTAAAACATAATTAAATCATACGGCACATTTAAGATTTTAATATCGTATTTCAGCCGCGTTTATACTGTTTGGCGCATTCGCTGCGTTATATTCATTTACATGTATATACACAGAAAACATGTCATTGTCCTTGCAGACCATAGGCAAAAAGCATTTGTCAACCATGCACATACCTTAAATCATATACATGTCATGGAAAGAATATGGAAATAATGTTGAATGAAAGCTAGCATCGCGTATAATATTAAAAGCACCGCATATAGTGCTCGACGAACCACTGCGTATTTATATTGCAAAAGCATCGCGTATATATAAATGGTGAAAGCACCGCGTATAATACTGGAACCACCGCGTATAATGGCGAAAGCACCGTGTATAATGCCAAAAGCACCGCCGTATAATGCTAAAAGCACCCAACAAAATGCCGTTTGATCACTTTAAGCCAGCTATGGCTTTCCATAAAAGAAGACCAAAGATGAAACATGATCACATTGCCTGTTTGCCTTATGCCTGACCGCGCTGCACCACGGTTAAAATTCACTGGTACCGCCATGCAATGCGCCAAATAGAAAATTTTGATTTCGACCCACAAAACAAAATTAGGATCTGCTGCCTTGCTCGCTCGCTTCAGGCTCGCTCGCTGCGGCAGCAATCTTATATGGGGTCCATTTCTTGGAGACATGGTAAATATCTCTAACAGTTTTTCAAGTTGGAAGTTCAAATCCCTTACGAACTAAACGCCACGCGAGGTTTTTTTCTCTTTAAATATATTACCTCGAGGGTTTTCTTTCTCTTTGAAAATATCACCTCGAGGTTTCCAGAATATCAAGAATAGATTTAAGTGGATACACTTTCAGTGACATGCACTGTTGAGTGTTTGACAGTCCTCTCCGAGATAGCCTGCAGGCCACTCCAAAATTTAATCAGTTCATATATTGGTAGTTATAGATATTACCAAGTTGCCTTTTGATATATACTGTATATTGTGTCGTGAAAAGTATAAGATTTTTAAAACAGCTGCATGCATGATATAGCTTATAAGTCATGGAAACAAAAGCTAAATAATATCAGTTTTATAGAAAGAGTATACCAGAAGAATTCGTATGTATAATTTATGTGCTATTTCATTAAGCGTCGTCAAAGCTGCATGACTATATACAGTTATATCAATTGTTTTAAATTGTATTATTCCCTAACTTCTATTTATTTTGCTGCGGCTACATAGTTTGTATGTTTAATTATACTAGAAGTTTCTGTCTATATCATTAATACATGTATTATTCATGGTTATTATACCCGTATATGAATTAATAAATAATTACAGTTTGTTGAAAGCACTGTATACTCGCAAGCATGATGTCGCCGAGTGCGGTACGTATTTTGACAGTTATTTACTGCAGCGCAATAGCATATTGCAATGCAAATAATGTCACTGCGTATGTGAAAGAATATCTGACCACTATAACATGTCTGAGCGTTCCGAAGATACGAAATGTTTGTAACATTGACTGGAAAATCAGACAATCTGATGCTGAACTCTACGATGCGGTGATCAAATCTATTAATGCAACGATATCTTCAAGTGAATTATACCGCGGGCTTAGTGAAGGCGATGCGATGCATTGTCGTAAGATGTACGAGAACATGATGTGTAGAAACACGTTCCCTGTTTGTGATACGAAGAGGATGGTCATAGACCACGGTGACGGTAAAGCTCGATGCGAATTTGCAAGGAACGCTTGTACAACGATATCGATTGAAGGCTGTGACTATTCTACAAGTGGAGTAGAACCGATCATATCCGAACTGAACAAGTGCGAGAACATTGCAACAAATACATCGAAACTTTGCCCTCATATTCAAGTGAAGGTAAGGATTTATACGATTTCCTTAATTATAGCCTGTGTACATGAAACTATGATATATGACTGCATGTGGACTTATATGGATGACAAATAAAAGTTCATAAAACAAACGACTGTTAGTGTTTCTAGTAAAATGCTTTGAAATATAGCAATACAAAAATACGATGAATGCAGGGTCGGATGATTTATTCTTATATTTCCTCTTCTATTTTCGTCGCTCCGACTTAAATATGATTTAATTTATATCATTTTCAATTTCACTCGACTAAATTTAGTTGACAGTTACCAAAGACAAAGTAATCAGTATATTTGTGCTGTTCTTACAGCGCTACAGGTTAAGCTTTTTATATCGGGGTTTATGAATTTCTCTTTAGACTTTACTCTGCTGCCGATGATGTACGACACCTTTCCTAAGTATATAATTATACTTTGTAAGAACGTTTTTGACATCCATCATGGCATGTGGTTAAATATCGGTGGCGCTCCAGTAATATCATACAATTTACGAGTCCCAATATTAGCTAACCAAGCAAATATGTACTTGTTACTATATAAATATATAACTAAATGCAACTGGAAAGTATATTTCAACTGAAAAATATCGGTGTTTGTATGGGTAGAGAATTTTTTAAATTAGTGCTATAAGCGCAGATATACGTTGCTATGAAACGCGTATTTTACATGTGATCTACATGGGGATACAGTGGCAGCTGGACATCGTATATATGTGTTCATTAAACTTGATATTTGCTTTGCTCTTCAATGACAATGTGACAGAAAAAAGGCAGCGAAGTGGAATGTCGGCGAAAATTAATTACATTCAAACATTGCTGTTACGTACAGAGATTAAAATCTTAGTGCCTTAATTGAATAGAATATCTAGAATTAAGCACACTGTTTCTAAATAAAGAGACGAAGTGTTTTCACAGTCGTAGACCTTGCTCACAAATATGAATTGTTGTAAGCACTAATCCTTTGATTAGATCGTAGAGGACCTATCAAGTTTTAGACGAAGTATCCGTATATACACTGCGTTGAAAACAACTTTGGCCCTTTTTAAGACCATTGTCTCGTTTGATTAGCACTTGTTGAGTGAATTCAAAAACCTGCAAGGCGGCAAATGTATAAAGGACTCGTTAAACCATAAGTAATGCTATCTTGAACCAGCCTATGCATGTGGTTATGCTAATTGGAAAACCACAAATCGCGAATGCCGGGCTGGATACAATTCTAGTTTCATAGACATGGTCATGAGGGCTTTATTGTATATTTGCTTTTGGACACTGCTTATACACATCACATGCGTTTGTTCTTTGTTTTATGATAATATACGCCATGTTAATCTGTGTGACTTCAGTGATTACTGTTTCCTGAGCAATGTCTAATTCGAATGTTTTTGCACGTGTTCAACAGGTACCTAGTCGATACAACGTGCAGATTGTTAAACCAATTGTGGAACGTTTGTCAAAGATAGCGGAAATGTTCTCAGAAGAATTAAAGAATCATACAGTTACGGCTAGATGTAAAACGAAATACAGAGAAGTATTATGTCGTCTGATCGATGCTTGTTCCCCGGATGGATTTTACTATCTGCATTATATCAATTCGTCGGAATGCGAAGAAATGATCTCATGGTGAGTCCTATAGTGTCTGTAGTTATTTTATGTTTTGCCTGGATCGTGGGAAAATCGCTGCACCCTATCTTGGGGCCAATTATATCGAGCATAGTGCGTAACAAATATATGATATAAATAAAGAAATTAGTTTCTAATTTCGCAAAGATTGAAACGTTTCACTGGCCTCAAGGACCTCAAGGACCAATTATATACACTTGTCTAATGGTACATTGTTACGAGAGCCAAGTGATTTTATCTTTATATCATTGGTTAGTTAAGCCATTAGCTTAAGGTATGTACATGTTCAAATACATAGCCCATTATAGGTTGCAAAGACGATACCAAGAGTTGGACATGAGATAAGTTTTAAACGTTTTCTTGCACTCATGTCAAAACTGATGGAGTCAGTTCAGTGATGAGTTAATTTAAGGGGGCATTCACAAAATACGTGTCGCTCGTGGGAGTAGGGGGTGTTTGATCAGGAGTCACGTATAGTGTCACAAGAGGGGGGAGGGGTATCACAAACGCTATCACGTGACGGAGAGGCGTATATAGGGTAACATTTATCCCTGTCTATAACAAAACAAGACCGTGCTTGTAAATATGTGTCCCTTAGATGACAAATCAATGTTTTCTATTAAAATACTCCTCCTGACATCGCCATGGAATACGGCACTCCCGTTATTCAACGAACCAGCGAGAAACTGAGTGGGAAACTGTTTAGGCCGAGGTTTAATAAGGCACTGAAATAGTGTCAATTTATAGATAACGTTGTGAATCTGTTCTTGCATATTAAATTTGAGTGGGGTTTTTTTTTGGGGGGGGGGTGGCTTTTATGATGGGGTGTACCGCTAGCTGTGACACACTGTCACAAGGGGGTAGGGAGGGGTAAAAACAGCGTCACGTATTTTGTGAATGGCCCATAACGAGCATAGTTCAATTTTATTAGAAAAATCGTTGCCATCTTAGTACTTTAGTCTTTACTTGTGTTTGCCGGTATACAGGGCACGAAAGCAAGCAACCCCGTCGAAAACTTTGAAAGTGCTGATTCACCGTATTTTTGAACTGCAGTTAATCAATGCATGTTGAAAACTTACCATAACAATCAACTATACTAGACAAAGGTATCATAAATTGTAGTCCAGCAGACAAAAGTAATAGAACGTCGCCTTGACACAAGACGAAACTACTAAATTAGGACTGATATCGATTCAAGTGTCACAGCATGTTCGACAGCTGATCTATGTCTTAGCCTACAACTTCATAGTTATTTATTTATTATTAATTAAATTATTAAATTTATTATTAATTAAATTATTAATTTATTATTAGGAAACATAATATTCAGAGTAAATTGGTTGGTGTTTTGTGGTCCTTACATTAGGTACTTACCATAAATGCATGTCAAGAACTGTATTTTTAATAATATAATAATATAACTTTTGTTTGTGGAAACACCACGTAAATGTTTACTGCAAAGCTTTCGATCCGTAAGCCAGGCTTATCCAGGCTTACGGATCGAAAGCTTTGTGGTAATAAATTTACGTGGTGTTTCCACAAACAAAAGTATATTATATGTTTTATCGCCATGCAAACCTACAAAGAACTGCATTTTTATAAATAATCCTATATATATATATAGAAATCTGGCTAAACGGTAGGGTTCAAATAACATTAACATATTATATTACTAATAACCATCAACCGTATCCAATTAATCTACCTTAAGGTTATTATTTAGGCCACACAATGTCTTACACCAGTACTTGTCCAATTACCTATTTTACACCATAAAAAGGAGAAGGGTTGTTCTAAAAAAATCCCTTAATTTTTGAGGCAAAAATTTCTACGAGTTCCCAGTATACATTGTCAATGCATGGTAACTTAGTGCCGTATACAAGATGCAAATTCATTACCTGCAATGCCGCACAAAATTGATCAGAAATCTGTATGGACGTCAAGTTAACCGCTATCACAAAATACATTTCGAAATATGAGTCTGCGTTACACTCCGCTGACCTACGTAAATTGAACTGATTACACGTTTAATTGAATCTGTAAAGTTCATTTATCTACAGCTGGGTGTGCTCAATGCCAACCAACATGATGCGACTGTGATCCCATCAGGGGTATAGTTCGCACCTTTTGTGAAGATAACCCGATTTGTTGCATAATTTTTGTCGAGTGTGTAAAAGATTCTGCTGCCCTACATTGTTGCTTGAGCAAGAATTGGTCTTATTGGCTGTGTGTCTACAGGCTTACAGCTTATATACTTGATGCATCAATATTGCACGAAGGCATGCAATGAGTATATTGACTGGGGTTTTGATTACAGAAGCTCATTGCAATAACTGTAAAGAATGTTTGAATGATCAATGTAGCACGGCATAGTGACAGCCAGATTAAAATAATAGCGACTCATATATTGCCTATAGTCATATTAGCTTCTCTCTGTATGCAATGTCTAAAAAAATATTTTTTAGTTGCCTAATAAAGTAAATTGTTGAGTCCTGAAAGATGATTTCACTACATTGTATAACCAAACTCTAAACCTTAAACCTTAAACTCTATGCGTGCAAAGCTTAATAGGAACACACATTTCAAGCTTAGTATAGTTGAATATTGCAGCTATTTGCCATTGAATTGTTTTCGTTAGAAGATATTTGCATGCCATGCAGTCTCATGCCAGGCCTCATATATGATTTCTAAACTGATTAAATGATGCTCCCATGATGCTTTGCACGCTTAGAGTTTAAGGTTTAGAGTTTAAGATTTGCAAAGGACAACCTTTTGAATTAGCTGTATCCATTTCTATACAAAGGTAAAAAAAATTAACTATATATACATGTTTTGGTATAGCTTCTCGTCCAGATTTTTTTACTATAGTAATAGTATAACCATTGACACATCACTCTATGCTGTCACATCTATAACACGAATTTTCAGAGTAAAATACAATTCCACAGACGCCGCCGCATTTGCATCCACAGGCAATGCAATATTGCCTATTAGAGTGTTTCGAAAATAAAATATGTAGTGACAGAAATATTAAATGTAATAGATAGATATTTTTATATCTGGCATTAACATGATGTATTAGAATTATCTCCATCCAATCGAAAACATAATTTTATAACCCAACTCCGGTTGATACTATTAATATACTATACTATAGGGGATAAGTTGGTGAAAAGATAATTATAGTTTGAGGTTGAACTTATAATTAGCATTTAACCTTGACTGCTTGAACAACATTGTTTGGAGTAAAGAAAGGGTCGTGGTTTTAGTAACGCTGTGTAAGCTCATTTCTGTTTTCTCCTTTGCGATACTACCATTACAGAGACAAATTATCGTTCTGTCAGAAAAAAAACAGAACGTTGCATTGTAAATTTTCAACGAAATTGTAGAAAATGAGTAACTCTTTGCGCCAAAATAAGATAATTATATATAAATTCCCGGCGTCTTGCCGATGCACAATTTGTTTTAATTTCTGTAGCTATAATTCCCTGCTGAGGTATTGATTATTTCTTCAAATCTCCCGGCGTTCGATCCCGCATGTTCAGACAAAACTCATTAGAACAAGAAGAATATTCAAGAACAAAACGTATATTTGCTAGATTTCGTTTAATAATTTATCTCGATAGATTCAATCAGAATAAGAAGATTCGTTGACTTATGTTTGAGGTTATTATTAATATAGTTGTTTGATTTTATCTCAATGTTTCTAAAAATATGATTTATCTATAATTTCTGTCGTAATATGTATATTACCACATGACCACAATATATATTACGTACATCGTTGATATACCGGCTGGAACATAGATATATAATATGGCTGGAACCCAACCTCGTACCCAGACTATTTTCTCTTTCTAGTGTGTTCGAAAAGAAAATGGCTCTATGACTTGCAGGGTAGTGCACTCTAAATTTCTGGGTGTTGTTATTAAAGGATTTAAAATGGTGTAAATCATTGCAGGTTGCATGTATACACACTGATTTTGAACACCAAATACACTCATCAATCGTGATATTTATACACCCAATAAGTGTTAAGGTGGCTCAATACAGTTTTTAAACGGTTTTTATACAGTTTTATCAACAAGTAATAATTGTCCAAAAATGCGCATCTAAATCGTACATTTTCCATTTTTTTAAAAACTGTATTGAGCCACCTTAATAAGTGTTTCAACACAGTTATTGGGTGTAAATTTGGTGTTCACTGACACAAAAATGGTGTTAATATTTACACTAAAAGTATCTGCAGAGCTACCAGTCTGCCGTGCGAATGGCCGAACAAGGATGGTTCTGGGTACGAGATTTGATGATCGGTTTCCTATGAAGATGCCTGCGGAGGAAGCTACCGAACTGCAATGATTTACATCACTTTAATATTGTAGCGACGCCCAGTGAAGGTGACGAGAAAGCAGTGCCCATTGGGACACGGCCCCATTGTAGAAGTGGGGAACTAGCCCCTCCCCAATATCTAACAAGAAACTTGAAACAACAATCAAAGGTTACTTTAGAACGCTGTAAAACTACAGTGTATTACCTATATGTAACTGTGACCTCGATTAATTTGTTAAAACTGCCCTCAACTGCAGGAAGTAGCATTTTGAGCAAAACCTATTTTCATACCCCTTCCTCCCCAAAATGTGTTCCTTCCTATACGCCTCGTTCCAGGCGGATGTAATGTGATAAAATGTGACGTCATGTGTATCAGACAGGTGACCGTGGAATGCTAAGTAGAATGCACGATACGAAATAAAACATACATGTAGAGGCTCAAAATTGTGTTCTTAAGATTCTCTTTACAGATTGGATGCCCTTAGCTCCCAGTGAAGCATAGGTGACTCCGATCCGTCTTGTCTTCTTCGCTCCAACTGCTCACTCAGTATCATCTGGGGTTTTTTTGTTTATCGTAGTGTCAAGTCGGCTGGCTTTTCTGAAATGATTACATCCGTATGCTCAAAAATACCCATCACTGAAGACACAGAAAGTGTAACTGTGGCGAATCCTTATATTCGTCCAGAAATTGTAACCGCAACAGCAACTCCTACAACATCTGAGAAGACTGATCATATTACAGAGAAGACTGATCATATTACAGAGAAGACTGGTCGTATTACAGAGAAAACTGATCATATTACAGAGAAGACTGATCATATTACAGAGAAGACGGGTATTCCCGTCAGTTATCCTACGACCTCGACGGAGATAGCAACGTCTGAAATATTGGTAGAACCTACGGACGAAAATAAAAAACCAGATCAAGGGGTTTCGAATAACACCATAATATCTAAAGAAGTGAAAAAGCCTCCTCCCCATGGAAATGCGTCCAGGAATTATCAAAACCTGTATATCTTCACGATGGTTTTGATACTGTTGGTAGGCCAAGCGGTTCGTCAGTTTCCTTAGAAATTTTGTAGGTTATTATATAGTATATGCAGGGGTGTAGTGGAGATGTTGGTGTGGAGACTCAAAGTTTCCTTTACATTTTATGCCTTTTAAATTGTAAAGTGGGTATTGAATTGGGGGAGTGGCCTTGCGGGGGCGAAATGCAACATGATTTTGCAGATAATTTATCGTAAGGGTATGTGAATTTCGCATAGAGGGAAAGATATAGTCTCAACTACTTATGTTTAAAATTGTAGATAAAAAACCCTCTAGCCCTATCAAGTCGTACAATGCACCCACAGGCTAAAAGTATAATGTAAACCTTAACATAGTACGATTATTGTTTGTAGCTTTGTTTTATTACTTAGTTTTAAATCTTTCCACTAATACATCAAGTACTATATGGTATTAATTAAATTTCACAATGATTTATTGTAGATAGGAAAGGGTGTATACAAAACGTTGTAATTTATGAGTGAGTGCATGCGAAATATTAATTACAATTATTTGTATTGTATACAATAGAACTAATATAATTATATGTCTATACGAGCACAAAATAGATTTCGTATGAAAGTACATTGAGTGACCATGGAGCAGTTCTCATTCGGAAAACATATATATAAAAGTTTTGATTTCAGAGAAAAAAATTTTATGAGACAACTAATCCAGGTGCACATTTGTCTGCTACCACGCCCCACTTTCACAAATACAGACAATCCAGATCACAGAAGTACGGATAGCGTTATTTTTTTAGCAATTTTCGACGCGCAAATCACTCACTCGTATCCATAGCAAATGGATACTTTTGGATTTTCGAAAGTCCGAACATTTTATGATTGGACTTTTGCGAATTCTGTCGCACATTTTGGCACTTTATGTGATTAACAAAGCAATATTTTATTATTCTCAATGTCCTGGTGACAGGACAGATATAACCTCTTTCTATTTGCCGTCATTAAAATAGAGGATTTGTAAATAGAGGATTTGTGTATAATTCGTTATAACTGCCTGTTTAGTAGCTGGGAGGGGAAGTTGAAAACAAGGGAGGGGCCCTTGGAAAAGGAGGGCCATGAAAACATAGACAGACAAGCTGGAAGGATCACAAAAAATTATGCCAGTGTGATCATAAAGTCAAGAGATCATGTTTTAATATATATGAAAGAGGACCTTTTTTAATTATATACCTGGGGGGAAAGCCAGCCCCTATGGTGCCCTTTAATATTTTGGCCCCCCAGTCGGTCTCTTTTCTCTAAAATATAATCAAAACATTGGAAGAAAAATGAAATTAAGATGCGAGGTTTGATATTCTAGTCACTGAAATTTGCTTTGTGAATTTTATGTCCTGTCTTTTATCTTCAAATAATTCAATATCATTTTAAACTGCTAGACATTGTGTTGTAAACAGTTGATTGGAAGCAGTGCCGTAGCCAGAACGATAATTGAGGGGGCACATATTCATATATTCGTGTTCTGCTTTATTAATTTCTTTTGAAATCAATTGTTTTTATGGTATGTGAACACGAATATATGAATATGTGCCCCCCCCCCAATTATCGTTCTGGCTACGGCACTGATTGGAAGGCTAGGCTAGCTAAACAAGTTAGTGACCGAATTGTGACCATGCAAGTACTTAACTGAAGATTCAGTCTATCTACAGCATAATGCAACGCTGTATATCCGAAAATCTGTTTCAGAAAACGCACGCGAAATGCAGTCCTACGGTTGGAAAAATACAAAAACTTTCTGGGGGAGAATGCCCCAAACCCCCTACTTTTCATACGACTTTTTTTCACCAACGACCATCTGTAATCTCTCCATTCTCAGTATAGTATGGTCTCTTTCTGAGATGGTCCCGCACTGACGAGAATACAAAACAACACCTGCACATGAGGACAAATGTAATAACTATCAAACAGAAAACATACATCACAATTACAAAAGATATTACGCAATTCTGATGTTTACAGTACAATAATTATAAGGTTTAGGTATATTATAGTAGGTTCAATATGTCAATTGACATAGACGTACGCCGTTTTCCATACTTGCTTTTTTTTCATGGTTACGATTTTCTTCAGAGTGCCGTTCCAAAGACCCTAGACATCCAGAATTTCCCGGGAGACGTGCTCCCGGACGTCCGCCCCATCTCAACGATTTCTGCGAAATTTAGGTTAATTATATTTTTATACGCAGGAGCCACGCCCTTGGACCCTCTAAGATTCTCGCGCAGGTGTTCAGACTTTTTATGTTTGCTTTGCCCCCCCCCCCTCTCTCAGAGTCAAGACCCTGGCTACGCCTCTGTTGGTAGGGGGGAGGGGGGGAGGGTCGAACTATATTTGGACGAGCTCTAGGGAAGGGTTTGTGACCTTTGATTTCGTAAACTTTTCGAACTCATTCTTATGTTCTTATGTTACACCATAGAAACGATAGGTGTAAGGATAGTGATTGAGATCAAGATCCATGATATTCGTGCACCAAACATACGAAAACGAGGCCTTTGGGACAAAAGTGCAACAAACAGTAAAGTCTATTCATTGAAGATCTCTACCTTCCCTTCCCGCCTGCTCATTTCTGGCAAGTCCCTCAGGGTCTTGAATTTACCAATATTTTACCCTAACTTGTGAATTAATGTTTACGTTTAAAACTCGGCCTAAATTTAATATTAAGGTTAAAAAAATGAATAAATTTTCTTCCTGCGGTTGTCTTTCTTGAGGTTTCATCGTAAACGTCGTTGTCGTATACCTTCGTACCTCTTCGTAGATTTCGTGAACCATCGTAAGACGCTCGTAATGTTTCGTAATGCCTCGCAATGATTTCCAGAGTCCCTTAAAAGCTCTGATGTTAAAGTTAGTAAAATGTGTTTGTGTTAACATCGATTCTGCGGTCTAGAAAATCGTTAAATGGTTTCAGACTTCGTTTCAGTTCGTGATTCGTGAAATCTAAAAATGATCTTCGTGATTTCGTAACGAGACACCCCCCCCCCCTTGCCCCCCTCGATTTGATCAAGTTTTTCATAAGCACGATATATGTAGCCTACGTCATAGAATCTAGCTCGTTAAATAGCCTAATATAATTTGTGTGAAGAGCTTGATGAACTTTTCTGCGGGTTTTGTTCACGAAGTGACACCCGCGAAAATAGCGCAAAACCAGTAACGTCAAAAAATGGGAATATCAAAGCGCTGAGCACGTGATAGAAAGGTTGAAACAACCTAGGTATCTTTTTTCACGTTATAGCAAATGAAATTCTTCATTACGCGTGGAAAAAGACGGGAAATTCGCGCTAATCAATTCCACAAAATTACGTTTTCAATTTTGAGAATTCAATGAAAATCAGAAACCCACTACTGTTTCAACCCACTTGCTTTCGCTTCTTTCTACGCCAGCGTGTAATTCTATCAATCATGTTGAATTCACTGATAACCAACTTACAATTTGTTCGCTTACAGTCGTGCCAATAGAAGCGTTCCGAAAAATGTTGATCAATTCATTTCCTAACTTCGAGGAATTCCTCTGAACAATTCCTCAACAATTTGATAAGTTCCTTAAAAAGTTTTTAACTTCCTGTTTCATTAACCAATCAGATTGCTCAAAAATAAAAGATAAAATCTGATTGGTCAATGAAACAGGAAGTTAGGAACTTTTTAAGGAACTTATCAAATTGTCGAGGAATTGTTCAGAGGAATTCCTCGGAGTTAGGAAATGAATTGATCAACATTTTTCGGAACGCTTCTATTGGCACGACTGTAAAGATGCTGTAAAGTCCGTATTGTAAACAAACGCTTTGTAGTACATTTTGAACTGCTATATTTGTAAAATATGATAGACTAACTGAATATCTAACACTTTTCTGGTTCGCTATGCTTGTATGAATATAAACTATACGTTTCAATTCAAAAAAGTTCAAAAGATGCAAAATTTGGGCAAAGTTTATATCTCCGGGTCCCCTTTTGTTATGAGCAGAACTGATGCGCAGAACGGACTTTACAGCATCTTTAATTTTAGAACGTCGATAATATTTTTACTATTATTTATTTAAAAGTTTCATGGTTTATGATTGGCTAGCAACCAACTGTGAAATCGTCATTTCAAACTCAATAGCTGTCAAAATATGGAGTTTTGACATTATATTCAACGGAGTGACGTCTAACGTTGAATATGAAAAAAATCATATTCAACGGAGTGATGTCATAATTATGTTGAATATGAAAAATCATATTCAACGGAGTGACGTCATAACGTTGGATATGAAGAATTCATATTCAACGGAGTGACGTAATGTTGAATGTGAAAAAATATTCAACGGGGCGTAATAACGTTGAATATGAAAAAAATCATATTCAACGTTATGACGTCATGCAACAGAAATAGGAAGCACGACCAAAACAATTAATAATGCGCCGCCTTCGGCCAGATAAACATAATTTACCACAATAAAACCAAGGAACGTTTTCATGTTAATAGCAAACTGAATAATGACTCGACTGAATACCAGTGCTTATACTGTGTATCTATACCATAGATATATGAGATCTAGATTGCTAACGCATACCTAGCGCAGGCGGGGCCTACATGATAAATCCAAGATGGCAGTACAACAGGGCAAAAAGACTATAAATTCTATTACAAAAATCAGGATTTTCGCATTTTTGCCGTCGCATTGTTTCGAAACTTATTCGGTCAAATTTTATGGTAAAGAGAAACTTACCGCGAAGATTTTGAGCATATATATGATTGAATTGGATGAAAAATCGCAAAATTATCCAGCGATAAAAGTTCGTGTGAAATGGTCAGTTGGAGCGTTTTATTGCCAGAAATACTGTGCTATGTTAACATCTAGCCTTGTGAATGGTGTTTTATACTTGCATCTCTCATCATCATCTGCTCTGTCCTCATAATTATGAAAAATGAACTGTTATGTACCCCCCGCCCCCTCCTTGCTTGTTAGAGAAGTAAACTGATGAG